ACATACCACATACCACATGATGGATATGTCGTTCCCAATGTTCTCCCTTCCGAAATCCAACATGCCATCTCGTCGGTAAAAAAACAAAGAGCACCTGGCCCAGACAAGATCAGACCTGAACACCTGAAGAACTTACCATCAGTACTCATCAATACATTGGCTCGACTCTTCACACGCTACCTGTCTGAATGCAAGGTTCCATCCCAATGGAAAACCAGCAAGACTGTACTACTATACAAGAAAGAGACATCCACGACATTGGCAACTATCGCCCAATCTGCCTATTGTCTGTCATCTACAAACTATTCACTCGAGTCATCCTGAATAGGATTAGCAGAACACTAGATGAAGGACAACCATATGAACAAGCTGGATTCCGAAAAGGATTCAGTACCATTGACCATATCCACACAGTAACCAAGCTCATTGAGGTATCTCGGGAGTTCAAGATGCCACTCTGTCTAACGTTCATTGATTTAAAGAAGGCCTTTGATTCTGTTGAGACAGAAGCGGTCATAGAAGCCCTAGCCAATCAGGGCATACAAACTCAATACATAAGGATCCTTCGTGAGCTCTATTGTGGATTCACTACCAAGATCTCACCATTCTACAAAGAAGTAATCATCCATATCAAGAGAGGGGTTCGGCAGGGTGATACCATTTCACCAAAACTCTTCAGTGCCACCCTCGAGAACATCATGCGACGGCTGGAATGGGAAAACATGGGAGTGAAGACAGATGGTCGGCAACTACACCACCTCCGCTTTGCTGATGACATCGTTCTAATAACACCAAACATCAACCAAGCGGCACAAATGCTGAACGACTTTGACCGTGAATGTGGAAAGGTCAGACTACAGCTGAATCTTGCGAAGACAATGTTTATGAGAAACAGCCTTGTTCCTGACACTCCATTCGCTCTCAACGGAACCACCATCTCCGAATGCAACAGTTATATATACCTAGGTCGAGAAATCAACATGATGAATGACCTGGCACCTGAGTTGCGCAGGAGGAAGAGAGCGGCTTGGAATGCCTTCAAGAGCATTGAAGAAATAACTAAAAGGACAAAGAACCTCCAGCTACGAGCACATCTCTTTGATTCCACTATTCTTCCTGCATTAACATATGCCTCAGAGACCTGGACCCTACGAAAACAGGATGAGAACACTATTCGGGTCTCTCAAAGAGGAATCGAAAGAACTATGCTTGGAATATCACGATTCACTCAAATGAGAGATAGAATCCGGAGTTCTGATCTTCGTCAACGCTCAAGAATCAGGGACGCTGTCTCATTTGCCAAGACATCAAATATCAGATGGGCTGGACACGTAATGAGGTTTACAGACAACCGCTGGACTAGAGCCATTACTGATTGGATTCCACGAGACATCAAAAGATCACGTGGACGCCCACCTATAAGATGGTCAGACTTCTTCGTCAAGACCCTAAATGATCGGTTTGAGGCTCTACATGTTCCTAAAACGAACAGATACCATTGGGCTACGGTAGCACGCAACCGGGATGAATGGAGACATTACTGGCACCCGCTCGAATAAATCGATGAATAACGGGGATTAAGTGATTAAGTGATTAAGTGAAGTGAAGTAATAGCTCCATGCTTAGTTCAAAATAAATAAATAAAGAAGTGCTAGTGATTTATTTGGCAAATTTGGGGGGGGGGGGTTAGTGTTAGTGAAGGAGGGAGGGAAGAGACAAGGAAATAGGTGAGTTTAGCCTCCGTTCAGGGTGCCAGATATCTCCCCCTGTTTGCACTTCCAACAGGTGCTGGAAGTGGCAGAAACTCTGGTTGGCCAGTCTGGCTTCACCAAGTACCCAGTTAAAGAGGACAGTATTCCCAGGGCAAATGACTAGCCAGGCCTGCTGTGGGATTGAGACATGTCCCCCTTTATCTGTACTCAGGACAGGATAAAGGCATTTGTGGCAAGAAGAGAGAAGATGACTAAGTAGTTGATAATCTGTAACAAATGACTCCTGGACCTGTGAGATTTATAAGTAGAAAATACTTTTGAAATCTTCCTCTTTCAGTCTAAGGCCAATGTTGAGTCAAATGGCATCAGAGCTTCCACTAATGAAGCAGTGGTAAGCCCACCTCCCGAGGCACTTGGGAGATACTGCTAACTGATCATTATACTCTTCTATGTTCTGGAAGTTTCCATGGATGGGTGGGAAGGTGGCTTCATGAGTACCACATTCCTGCCTTGTCCTGTCCCCTACTTCTCTTGCCTCAGGGATGGAAGAATGGTGTGGTTTGATTTGTGGGTCTGGGACGAGACACAAAGACATCCTTTGGCTTTCTCTTGGTACCCTTTCTTTCTGCTTTTCCCTGTCATTTATCTAACAGAGGTGCATCCCCACCTCACATGCCCCCATCCATTTTTTCTAGTGGACAGATTTTTTCAGAAGAAAGGGATGCAGTTTTCAGAAGCCCCAGCATCTGGAGCCTGCTCTGGGCCCCATAATTCTCTAAGCAGTGCTCCCAGGAGCCACAGTGGGTCATCAGGTATAATGAAGCCCACGGACCCCCTCATAGCCATGGTGTCTCTCTGCCTAATGCTGCATGGGAACCAGAGTGGAGCTCTCATGTGAACCTGGGCTCAGGAGTGTGAGGTTGGGTTGAGTTGTGTCTTCCTCCTTTCAGTGGTGACCTTGTGGTGGTTACTGAGTCTTCTGTGATGTCACTGTTCTTACCTGTGAATTCACTTGTAATACCCTCCATTTTATGCTATTGCTGGTAGAAATTAAGTGAGATAGTATATGCAGAGTTTCTAGCTCATAGAAAACTATAATGAAAATCATCATTTGTGCCATCTACAAACTTTGGAAAGAGTTTAAAATTAAGCCCATGCCAATTCAATCAGTTGATCAGTGGCTGAATGAATAGCGGTATTCCTACATAAAAAAAATCCAGACCCATTGTAGCTGGCGCTTCTGCTTGAGGCTCTGCTGTAATCAGGGTGCTGCTGGTCAAGGCGGGGGACTTGTCTCAAAGGTCCAGCGAGGTTGAATCTACTTTCTAATCACGCCTGGTCCTTGGGAGGCAGCTTTATGAAGCCTGATGGGTTAAGGCCTCCATTCCTAGCTGGATGATTGCTGAAGGTCATACTCTGTTCCAGGCCACACAAACATCTCCAGTGGTCTCTTCCTTCATCCAGCTTACAGGTTAAAGAGGCAATAGAGTCAGCTAGTAAGAGGAGGCTATAATTATATGTCATGTTATCGCAGAAGTGAGTGTGTCACTGCTTCTGCCAGATTCTCTTGATTAGAAGAAAGGCATTGGTTGAGCCTCAGGTGGCAGAGGTTAGTGGGGCTGTCTCAAGACCACGACTGCATTCACAGTCAGGCCTGTCAGACATGAAAGACTCGTTACCACCCTCATTTGCATAAAATCTTACCTGCTCGCACTGCAGCCAACAGAGAAAACATAATAAATATCAGGATGCGGCTTTCCAATGCAATCGCACAGTCACTTTCTTGAATGGAGATATCAGTTTGCTACAAATGGAAGCAGTTTTGAAAAACAGGCCCCATTAACAGGTGTTTTAAATTTGCTTAATAAAAATTGATTTGGCGGTAAAAAGAAAAAAAATTTTAAAAATAAATAAAATTAAGCCCATGAACGGGAAAGATAGTACAGTGGGAAGGATGCTTGCCATGCTTGTAGCCAACCTATGTTTGATCCCTGCCACCACATATGGTCTACTGAGCACTGAGACAGGAGTAAGCCCTGAGCACAGCTCTACGTGCCCCAGAAACCAAAACACAAGCACGGAAGGAAGGAAGGAAGGAAGGAAGGAAGGAAGGAAGGAAGGAAGGAAGGAAGGAAGGAAGGAAGGAAGGAAGGGAGGGAGGGAGGGAGGGAAGAAAGAAAGAAGGAGAAGACCAGTTCTTCTGAATGGGAACCTTCCCAGTTTTTAGTTGTGGCCGCGCAAGTTCTGATTCATTGATGGCTAATTCTAACACTTCCTATTTCGGGGAAATCCCCGAGGCTGCCTCTAATTCTAATTTTATGAGTATGGAAATAGTTTTACTTGAGTCTCCTTCACCATCAATTTATTTTCTGGAATTGATGCAGAGGGCGAATGGAAGGTGTGTTTTCCTTCAGCTCTGGAGTCATGCCACTTCCATCTCATTTGAATGATGTGGTTTACAGATCAGTGCTGCTGATGCCCTCTCTTTTGTCAGTAACCCCTTCACACATAAGTATTGAGTCTTTGGATTCTGTGTGAAAAGCCTCAGAAAAAGGTGGGGAGGGGAATTTACAACCATTAACAAATAGACCGGCTGGGAAAAAAAAAATATGTACAATATAGGCCATGTTAGTAACTTTCTAGGAAATTGTAGCAGATGAGTTGCATCAAGTTGCAGATTTTTGTATCCAACTCATGATTTTACTGATAAAATCAAGTCACTAGTGGTCAGCATTTTATCTAGTAGTAGGTGTTCATCCTAAAGGACTTTAGAATTGAGTTGCAATTGAAAACTCTCACAATGCAGTTCATAGCTTCACTGTTGAATGCTGAAGTATATGCATTGGGATTCAGGGACAGAATTGAATTGCAGAGAACCGCCATCATAGTCACCATCTCAGAGTACCAGCAAGCCTTCACCTTTGCTCAACAGGGACCCTGTGCTCTGCATTTTCTTTACTTTCTGGTGCTCTGGCTTTAAAGAGGATTCCTGTGAGTGTCATAATAGTCATAATAGTATGACTTGCTAGAGAGTTTAGAGAGGATAAAGTTAAGAACTATATTCCCTTTGCCGCTCTTGCTAAGCAATCATGTCTTTGTGGAATAATTCATTCCCAGGATTTTCACCCAAGAAAGACACTTGAGATGAGTCTCTATGGTTTACTCATGAAGATTGTCATCACATCATTCCTTACTTTGTGGTTAGTGTATGCCTAAGTGGTGGTTATCTTGTGGAGTGGCGAATTTTCCTACAGGCTTCTGAAAATATTGACTTTATTTCTCAACTAGGTGGCTGCACTACGATCCCAGAATCAGAGCTAGAGGAAAGAGCAATAGAACAAGATGCCCCCGAACTGTTTACCAACCACAAACACCTCATGGCAGACCCATCCACACCTGGTAAGAGGCTGGGTGGCCTTCACAGATGACAGATGACTTGTGAGCAACAGTGACCCCTCTGGGCTGCCTTTGTCATACCAGAGACCATTTGCAGAGCAGCCCCTTCCCTCTTCCCCTCAGCGTGTGTGCTTCTGAATGTGATCATTTATGCATTCTTTTCGCAATTCAGAACTTCTATGTCTCTCTTGTTCTTTTTCTCTTTCCAGAAGTCTCACCCCTCCAAGGAGAATAAAGTTTAAACAGAGTTGTCTGATCAAAAGCAAGAGGGCTTCCCAGTGCTGATCCTGTGTAAACCTCATGCCAAATGCAAAGAGAGTCCTGTTTATCCAGCTCACCCACCTGGAGAAGACACATTACAGAGAGGAGGATCTGGACTTTTAATTTTGTGAAGAGGACTTATAACACCAGGAAAAGCAATTTCAACTTGTCCTCCAGGAAAGGAAATTACTGCTTTCTTGGTCATCTGTCTGATTGCAGCTACAATTTCAGGATATAGTGAAATGACATCATTTTGGGACAGACTTTATCATTGAAAGTCCTAGACCCAAAATTATTTGATACCCCATTTTCCCGCACAAAATTCTTATAGAGTAAATGCATCCAGTTTAATAAAGCATCTCATTGTCAAACAAAAAAAATCTTGAATTTGATTTGGTTACCTAGGTGATTTCTCTATATTATTTCTTGAACTAAAAATTTTCCTACTTCTTAAGACTCAAATGTGTCTTAATAAATTTTAAAATATATAATATATAGGTATGTATATATATATATAGTTCCATACATGCATATGGATTTTTAGAACTTTTACATGATTTACTCCATTAGGCAGAAAGTGGAAGTACGAAAGTTTTCTAGTGTTGTATGAAATGTTTAAATAAATATTTAAGTAAATTAGTACTCCAGGACCCTCTTTTCACTGCCCCAGTGAGTGATAACTAGCTCCCCGTGACGTATTCGATATGCCAGACACAGTAACAACAAAGTCTCCAATGGAGACGTTACTGGGCCTGCTCGAGCAAATGAAAGTACTCACACTATATTACAATAAGAAGGTTAACTTTTGAAACTTTTGAAATAAGATATTTTTCTAGTTTTGAGTTAAAATTACAGCTGCAAGACTGGCAAGCCTGTGCAAGATTTGGAAATATCTCTTATACTAAATTTAGTACAAATGGGTAAATGATTCGTGGTTTCTCTACGTGAGAGAAATGTCAGACTGCAGAGGAGGAGCTATTATTCACGTGCTATTTTCTTAGAAGATGTAGCAGAAGATCAATAATTTTCATGGTCAGGCATGAAAGTATACTTTGAGCCAAAGCAAACCACTGGGTTAATTTCAGCCAGCCTGTATGTAGCAACCAGTAAAAATTGCCATAGCACACACTGGTACTTTAGTTGCAAAAACACAATACTTCTGATCATCTGATCACTTCAGCTCTGTTTAAGAAAGATCACATGCAATGTGTATTTATTCCTTACAAGTGAATTTCTGTATTCCTTTCTTCTTGTTGTTATTTGATTCCTATGGTTGTTCTAATACTATCCTTGGACTCATCTTTGCTCACCTTTATGTTATTGCATGTTTGTATATATTCTTCTGTCTTTCTTTGCGATTCCTTTTCTCTCATGGTTCCATATTAATTTACCTTAACCCGTCTCCATCTGTTGCTCCCCTTCTTTTCTAATTCTTTCATTTCACCATTTGATTCTTTCTCTGATTTTCCATGGTCTAAAATTAAAGCTAGCAATATTTCTTTGACTTCCAGTGTAGTTAGATGATAGATGATAGATAGATAGATAGATAGATAATAGATAGATAGATAGATAGATAGATAGATAGATAGATAGATAATTATCTGCTCATGTTCTTTTCCTCTTTATGGGACTGACTTGGTAGTGATAATGATCTTCTTATAGCTTTAAAATATCATTTAATGTAAACTTATACTAACTTTAGTGATTGAATATTATATAAACTTTGTTCTCAATGTGGCACTTTAAACTTGGTTCCTGGGTTCTTTTTTGAATAGAAGCCTCTTCAGTTGTAAGTGGTGAAGCATTAATTGCAAGTGGTGGACTCATCAAGCAGGGCTCCCTTTTCATGTTTTGTGCCTGTGGCCTCTGTGATCTGATTGCTTCTCCATGGTGTTCCGTGTCCTGCTCGGGCTGCTGTGTCTGTGCTACCATGTGCTTCACTGTGTCCCCCATACTCAGACCCTGGCTTAGAGAAGTCATTCCCTGTCTCCTCCTCTGCTCGCATATCTCAGAGTTTTACATGAGCATCTCCAAGTTCCTCATTCCCGGGAAATGACCCAAATCACAGACATGACCCAGATTTTAGACTCCTGCACCCTTCTGTGTTTGTGCTCCTCTCAGAAATGTGCCTGGAACTCGCTTTACCCACTGCCACACCAGCTCTTCACGGCCAGACACGGTCCCAGCCCATGTGAACTCAGTTAGGTGCTGGCTGGTTGCACTGGAAACTGGGGCCAGAGAGTTCCCCAGCGCCCCAGGTCCTCAGTACCCCAGTCCTTTAAATCCTCTCGCCTCTCAAGGAACTGGCTTTTGAAAAGGGGAAGTACTTCCTGAGGTCAATTAACCTGGAGTCACAAGACTTACCTTTTGCTGTGAAACATCTTGTTCCTCAACATGAACAGCTTGGCTATCATTTCCTTAACTAAAACAAAAGAAGAGCAGCAATAAAAAATCCAACAGTTTTCTTCCAAAATCTCCTGCTGTTTTGTTTTGGTTTTTTTGTTTGTTTTTTTAACCAGTTGATCATCTGTATGTCAATGTGCCTGTCATATCAAAATGTGAATGAAGAGTCAAAAAGAAGAATGTGAGTAATTCTTCAGCTGCTACATGCCCACTATCCGCGGGCAGTCAGTGGCCAGCTCTCAGATCCCCTGTCTTCCTACAGGTGTCATCCCATTCAGAGACATAGAGTGTGCCTATAAGCCAGGGAGCTGGTGGGGACAGGGTTGGCAGAGAAAGAACCAGACTGGTGCTTTTCACTCTCAATTATACATTGATATTTTTATTTTTTGTTTTATTTTTTTTTTTGCTTTTTGGGTCACACCCAGCAATGCACAGGGGCTACTCCTGACTCTGCATTCAGGAATTACTCTGTGCTCAGGGGACCATATGGGATGCTGGGAATCGAACCCAGGTCAGCCGCGTGCAAGGCAAACGCCCTACTTGCTGTGCTATTACTCCAGCCCCTAGTATCTTTATTTTTCTTCCTTCTGCTTATCTGTCTTTATTGTAATGAATAGGTAGTGTTCTTAAATTAAGAGAACTTAGGCCCTATTAGAGATAGCACAGGGGTCAAGGTGCTTGCCTTGCCCACAGCTGATCCGGATTCAATCCCCAGCACTGCAAATGTTCCCCAGAGCACCTCCAGGAGCAACCCCCACGCTCAGAACTCACAGTAAACCCTGACCCTGAGCAACTTCGGGTATGGCCAAAACTGCCACTCTCCAAAGAGTAAATAAGAGGTCACATCCCACCTTTGCATGTCAGGATTATCTGCTGTATAATATCTGCTATATAATACTTAATATTACCTGCTGTATAATAATTAGTAATATACTTTTGTTGCTTAGCATTTAGTTGACATGATATACATGACATACATGATTATTAGAGAGTAATCTACTTGGAGATTGTGCTCTGGTAATCCTGAGTCATGTATAACATCATAACAACATAATTATGATTTGCAATAGAAATATGTATGCAAATTATGTTAAAACTTAACATTTTTCTTTTTATTTCACATCTTTTCATGCAAAAAAAAAAGGATCAGTTGAGATAAAAAACACTAGATTCAGAAAGGATAATTTCAGGTGCTTTATATTGTATCAGCAGCCTCCTTCCCTAGCTTTTTATATCTCTAGTGTTCGATTACCAGGTGTGATCTCGCTGGTTTTGCAGCTAAATTCGATGGTAGTAAACTGTGTTAAGGGTTCTGTTGATTTTAAAGGTTTTACTTCTATTGTTGAGCACAGCATCCAGGGCCTAATCAATGAGATGCTGTTAGGCGTGCACATCCCTGACACTCCATGCCTGGGCCAGCGGGAAGGGCTCTTCTGTGCTGGCAGATGGGTGGAAATTAGCAATAGCCCTCCGGTTTTTTAGCATTCCATTTGAATTACACTCAATTCAGGACCCCAAGACTCCCTCGGGACTTGGTCTGAATAAATGATCTTCATACACCCAGACCTCTATTTGAAGCCCACTTAGAACACATGAAGAAAGCGTGCAAGAATACACCTTTGAGCCCCTGACTTTTTCCAACAATCTTCTTTTACTCCAGCTTTTAGTGTAGGATCTCTGCATGCAGGTGTACAGCACTTCCTGGAGGTCAGATAGTTGTAGCTTTAATAATAGGTTCTAGCGCCTATGTCACTTCTGTAATGAGCAGGTTATAAATCAATGTTGTTATCCCTGACATTTTCCTAAAGCCTGTGGGTAGTAGTCAGGGTTTTCGGTTTCAAAAACCTAGATCCAGCCCTCATTCTTCAATGTAGCTCAGAAATCTGACTTTTCTCCCATGGTTTATTCCCTACCTATCGTTTCAGGGTTCAGGGAATTTCAACATTGATTTTTAAATCTTTTAGACACATTTAGGAAATAACTGTTTAGTCAATAGCTCCTGAAAGAAAGATAAATGATAAAGACACGGGATTTATATATGTTGGCTGTGGAATTAGCTTAATATTTTTGTAAATTGTGTTTAGAGAAAGTTTATGTGACACACCCACCCACCATTTACTTAAATTTTGCTTTGAAGATAAGTAGGATTCTTAGATATCTGATATTTCAAGTAGTTAGCTGACATTGATTTGGACACAAGTTTCAGGTTTTATCTAGAACTTACACAGTTTTGGAACAATTTTGTTTTGGGGTTTTTGTTCACATCCAGCTGTGCTTAGGGCTTACTCCTGGTTCTGTGCTCAGGGATCAATCCTGGTGGTTCTCAGGGGACCATCTGTGGTGCTGGGGATCAAACTGGGGTCAGCCACATGGAAGGCTACAGCCTGACCCACTGTACTATCTCTCTAGCCCTTCTCAGAATACTTTTCAAGAAAAATAATAACATCCTAGTATGACATTAGGTACAAAAGTGAATGTTTATGTATATTCAGAAAAGAATATTACAAATTTTACATTTATAAGAATCAGAAATCCCACAAAATATTTTAAAATTTTTGTGTTTCTACCTACCAAATTCTTTATATTTCTATATTTTAGGGCTGTTGATTGTCTATTTACATCATCACTGATCAGTAATCATAGTTTTATTTTCTATAAGGTGAATTGATAAATCCATTTTTTATCTAAAAATGTTGGTGAAACATTTATTTTGTATGAATATGTTTGTTTTGGGGTGGTGCTTTGAACCCAGGCCTCGTGTATGTGAAGCTTGTGTTCTGTCATGGAGCTGCCTTCCCTGCCTGGTCAAACTCTCTAAAACATTACTGATAGTTTGCAGAAGTTTATACTTGACAATTTATTATTGGTATGTGTAGGCTTTTAAGATTACTCTCATGTCTTGGAACATTTACTAGGACTATTTCATACCTGTCTTGAAAGGGTTCAGCGCATTTCAAGTTTAATTGTTCTGTTCTTTAAATAGTCATTGAACTAACAACTCTTTCTACCTAGTTTG